ATATATATTTGTTAAATAAATACCTAATTTAGTACATCAGCGAGAATCTCCACTGGTGTATAATTGTGCAACACATTTTGACGATCTAATATGTTTTATTTGCTTACCACTGAATTCTATGCAGCCGAACCGTTAAAAGTTTATGCACAGTTTCTGAGTTTACAGGCTACTCTCGGACATTTACATCGTATCGTCGGGTATTACAAATTTTGCAGCGTCTAATTTATTTTGTTTAGATTAACTAAGACTAATAGTTTCCCCATCATCTGCGCAAAATCTGCCGTCGGGGCCCCCATTCACCAGCCTCTTCACGTATTTAGCTAGATTTAAAATGGTTTATATTTCCTTGGGAAATAAGGGCATCAGTTCCGTTTTGCTATTCAAGTAGTGCGAACTTTATTGCCCAATTTACTGTCTGTAGGACTTTGTCTACTTTTTACTACCGTTTTGTGCGATTACCGTTGGAGACTGATCGTGCCGATACGGAAGAGACCCTATATGCCGATATAGAATCCAGGAAGTGACATATGCTTGCGAAACGCAACTCAAGGTAGCTGAGAGGAACCCATTCTTTCTGATATGTTCAATTTGACCGGATAATATTCACAGGCTTTGTTACTAGTCTACCAACCGAGATCTTTTATCTGTATGCGGGGATTTGCTTGTTAGAATTTGTTGGACTACTTTCTCAACTTGCTCTAACGATCTTGGCAAGCAGCACGCTTTAGTAAAGGATGTATTTCGTGAATATATATGGCTTAACTTAATCTATATTATTTTTTGGCAGGCGATAAAATGCTCGACGGTTACCATAAGAAAAAATATGTCTGCAAGCTTCTTTTCATATTTCTTCTTGGCCACGACATCGACTTTGGATACACGGAAGCCGTGAACCTACTTTGTTCAAATCGGTATACAGAAAAGCAAATTGTAAGTTCCCTCTCTCTTCATCTCTTTATGTTTCCTCCACACCAGGGTTATCTATTCATTTCAGTCCTCCTAAATGACACACATCCGCTGATGAACTTAGTTATAAGCCGCATCCGCGATGACATGTCTAGCCGAAACGCTGTCTTTGTGAACCTGGCCCTCCAATGCGTAGCCAATATTGGCAATCGCGAAATGGCCGAACAGTTTGCTTCAGACATTCCAAAGTTACTCGTTTCGGGGTAAGTACAGCATTAAAAAGCTCATCGCTTTCTGCAGTGAGACTTCGGACTCCATAAAACAGAATGCTGCACTGTGTCTCCTCCGTTTACTTCGTGTGGCTCCAGACCGAATGACTGATTTGGACTGGATATCTCGAGCTATACACCTTCTAAATGATCCCCATCTGGTAATTACCTCAGCATTTTGCCTTCCTTTACTGTTTACGAAGTTTTGCACCGCCACCAGGCTTCTTTAGTAGCCCTTTTACAGCCTTCCCTAAGTAGCTGGTTCCTTGAACTGATTATCTTCTTTCCTCATCACTCTCATGCATAAATACATGGGTAATCATGAACGCATTTTCGATCGTACACACTAAATTTACCGTATAGGATTAGAGACTTGTTGACTTAGTCTAGGAACATTTTTTTCATGTTTTCGTGTGCGAAATGGCTATGCCTATATATAATTCCGAAATAATCATCTTTGGAGGATCTGAGTTTTCCTCTTTGGCTTCTGTGCTGCCCCATTCACGTTATTTGCAGCAACGTATCTGCTCACCGCAAAGCCTGACGACAATGTGAGATGACGAGCGTGAATCGCCATTAAATAAGTTTGCTTGCCACCACTGCCTTGTGGTTAAGCTACTGAACCAAAGCGCTAGATGGTTGGCGGCTTACATCCGTGGCCGTCACGATCGTGTCCTTTTCCGGGG